ATTTTTTTATTTTAAAAATAAGGTTCGGAAGGTTTGAGAGATATGGAATAGGGTGAAGATATATTAAATATGGTTACTACTAAAAATTATATCATTTTTTTTTTATAATTACTAAACTTGTCGAATCTGACAGATCACGTGATTATAATTAGACGAATAGATATTCGAAAATATCAGCTGTCGGAACCGTAAAATTAGGCCCGGTGCAGATCACTAATATATATTCATCATTGAGTTATGTAAAGGTTTGAGAGATGTGGAATAGGGTGAAGATATATTAAATATGGTTACTATACTACTAAAAATTATATCATTTTTTTTATAATTACTAAACTTGTCGAATCTGACAGATCACGTGATTATAATTAGACGAATAGATATTCGAAAATATCAGCTGTCGGAACCGTGAAAAATTAGGCCCGGTGCAGATCACTAATATATATTCATCATTGAGTTATGTAAAGGTTTGAGAGATGTGGAATAGGGTGAAGATATATTAAATATGGTTACTATACTACTAAAAATTATATCATTTTTTTTATAATTACTAAACTTGTCGAATCTGACAGATCACGTGATTATAATTAGACGAACAGATATTCGAAAATATCAGCTGTCGGAACCGTGATTTTCTCAACTTGGAGACCCCATAATCATTTAATTTACAATTAAATTTAATTAAAAATTATATACATTTGTAAAATATTTTCATTTTTATTTTGATCGATTTTGAAAAAGAGTTATTTTATTTATATTAATTAATTATATATATATATTTTTTGGAAAAAAATAATTATCCTCAAAAAAAATATAATCCTCATTAAAATATTTATATAAGGAAATGTATGGGAAAAGGCAAATAATTTAAATATTTCCAGGTTCTTTATTATTTTGCGAGATATGACAATTTCCCGCTAAAAAAAACAAAATTTTTCTATCAGCCTTTTTTTCGCAAAAATTTATAAACAATAGTAAACAGAGGTGAGTGTCCTAATAAAAGGCATTTTATTCTATATTTTTTAAATTGCCCGCAAAGACATGGTCCCTATATATAAACGCCTATTTTTCATGTATTTAAAGCTGCTCCCATTTACCCATCAAACAAGAAAGAAAGAAAGAAAGAAAGAAAGAAAGAAAGAAAGAAAGAAAGAAAGAAAGAAAGAAAGAAAGAAAGAAAGAAAGAAAGAAAGAAAGAAAGAAAGAAAGAAAGAAAGAAAGAAAGAAAGAAAGAAAGAAAGAAAGAAAGAAAGAAAGAAAGAAAGAAAGAAAGAAAGAAGGAAAGAAAGAAAGAAAGAAAGAAAGAAAGAAAGAAAGAAAGAAAGAAAGAAAGAAAGAAAGAAAGAAAGAAAGAAAGAAAGAAAGAAAGAAAGAAAGAAAGGAAAGGAAGGAAGGAAGAAAGAAAAGAGTTAGAGCGCGAATTGACGGCGAATAATATAAAAAAATATTATATTTTGTTGTTTACTTCACTCAAATGAAATATAATAATACTTAGACTGACGATGCATTTATAATAATACATTTTTAAAAGCGTCTTTGAATGCAAATCAGCCGGGCCCGCCATTTTGGTATAAGCCATATAGTAATTATTCTCATGTTACAAAACTACTATTAAATTGAAAACTATGATCAGGCAATTCTTTAATAAAGTTGGCGTCAGAACATAGGATAAATTGGCCTCTCGTTAAAAATTTTAAAATAATGATATGGGTAACCAAAATGGCGTCCCCAGTTGTTTTTCATTTGATGTACACTTTTAATGAATGCATCGTCAGTCTAGGTATTATTATATGTCATTGAACTTCACCGCGAATTCGGGCTTGTAAGCAAAAAGATTTACTTCGCCATTTTTAGGTAAAATTTGATCAAAAAATATCTTCTTTTTTTTTAAATTTATTTCAAAATCCGCTTTGATCTGTTTTACCGCCAATTTTTATTTATGGCATGTATAAATTACACTTATAAATGGCAACTAGTGTTTGTTGATAGACGGCTACTTTTGAGCAGTTAAAAAAATCGCTAACTCAATATTTTATCTGAAAATTTTGCTTCTAGCACAACGATTTGGACATCTATTAGAGAAATATCGGAGGCATAGGCAATATTTTTTTCTGGCTAAAATATTGAGTATCGACCCATTTAGCAACGCTAGAGTAATTGCAAATATTAAACAAAAAAAACAAACTTATTACTAAAAAAAAATTAAAATGATTATGTCCGATCTTAAATAAAATATTTCCCAAGAATCTTTTGACATCTAAAAGAGATAAGATGTCCTAACGGTGGGGTTGTAAATTTTTTTTATAAATGTAAAAACAATCATCCTTGGTCGTAAATTAAGATCTATAAATGTAGATGTCCAATTTCTATCAGCCTCAATTTCTTAATAAATAGTTGGAATAACAATCTATTTACAATGCGAAACATTTAGGATTTGTTCTAGTTCAATTCATTAACGCTTTCTTTTAAAACGCCTTCAATGTTAAAAGGTAAAAATGAAAGATTTTATCTCCTATCACTTAACATTGAAAGTGTTTAAAACGCAGTGTTAAAGAAATGAACCTAGGAGGCTTTAGAAATTAGGTAAACCTAGGATTTTTTGATTCCTATAATTTCCCCCTCAGATATTGTTCAGCTCATATTTTAATTGTAACTTTTCCTAAGGTAGTTATGAAGTAAATTGCTACATTTTTTTTTACGAATTAAACATAATAACAATTTTAAAGAAATATCTAGGAATGGCCATAGGAAGAATATGCACATAGCCTTATTATCATTTAGTTTAGAAATTATCGCTTATTTTCAGGAATTGATTATTTTTTCCTAGTAGATAATTTAAAAAAAAAAATGTTCTTAAGCTGAAGCATAATAACTTTTTAAACAATATATCTTGAATTAATTAGTAAACTCAACCACAATCTATATTTTATTTAAGATATATTTTACTCTGGTGCATAGAGATCGCTATTGGCTTCACTAACATCTGAGAGGAAGGGAAAATGTTTTTTTCTTCTTCTAAATAAAAAAAACGGAAATTCACATCAAAAATGGTGAGAAGGGGGGGGGGGGGTGGCTACAAAACTTTTACACCTGACATTACCCGAACGACGCCACTGTCTCCATCTATTTTCTATTGATATCACTTGCCATATTTAACTAATATTGCTTAAAAAAATAATCCACAAAAAATAACCCATAAATTATCATTGTATAAAATTATCTAGTTCGGGGAATGGCAAGTAATATTTATATTTTATTTTATTTAAAATAAAATATTTTTGGATAATAAAATAATGAGAAAATATAATGGGAAATTAATTGTTAATTAAAATTATTTGGATATTTTTTAAAAAAAATAAATATAAATAATAAGATCCGATCAAAAAAAATGTAGGGGGGGGGGAGGGAGGGAGTAATCAAATATAATATTCATTCATTCATTTACATATAGGAAGTTATCTTCACACGTAAAATCAGATATTAGAAAAATGAATAATACAAATTCGATCGCAATTCCAATCAACGAGACGCACGTATGCGTAACGCATCCCTTTATCGGTTTCAACCAAAAGTTAAATTTATTTTTTTCGGTGCTTCTTCCTGTTTTATGGATAATAGGATTTGTCGGAAATAGCTTCGGATTTTTTTTGGCCATGCAAGAAAAGCCTTACCCTAAAATCATACTCACGCGGTCCCTATTCGCGGTCAATATGCTTAACTCCGTAACTATGCTATTGTACCCAGTAATAAACGTCATAGGGGAGACTAGATCCACTAAATTCTGGATGGGTGCTTCCTGGAAAAAATACCTTGCGGACTATCATTTCCCTATCGCTAAATCGTTAGTTAATCTATCTTTCGGAATATACATTATTTTAACCATATCTAACATGATAGCCATAGTTTATCCCTACAAATACAAGCGTTGGTTCAGGACTCCCAGGATAATTTTAATGATTCTGCTGTGTTTACTATATCTAATTTTATGGTATCTACCGGCAAGATGGTGGTTTTATACCCAGTGGCATATTAACTTGTGTGGATTTAACGCGAACGAACGTACCTATATTCTCAAATTTTCGAGCTACGGTACAAGACGACAAAAGAAGGGTTGGATGGCTTATGACATCCTAAGAGAAATGTTCACCAAATTTTTACCCATCTTGGGGGTTATTATCGTCAGAATATGGTCCATTCGTAAGACAAAAAAGCAGGTTGATTGGAGATTACAAGGACCCGCTAACACACACGATCCGGCAAAATCATCCAACAAGATTTTTAAGTTTAAGAGAAACAAAGATGGCTCAAACCTTACCCAGAACATAAGTATTAAGCGAAAAGATTACGATGTTGATTATAAAATGATGATCATAATGGGACTCGAATTTGTGGTTTTCTTGTTACCAGTATCAATATTTTTAATATCCCGATACGTTTATAAGAATGTTTGGTCTGATTATAATACGGAGTTAGCGTTTACTGTATGCACATTAATGGAGTATCTATATATATCCCTCATCTTCTATTTGAACATTTTGATAAATCCTGGATATAGAGATAACTTTATTTTAACCTGCAAAGATTTCTGTAAGAAAAGAATTAGATGGTGTTAAAACGAAAGAACAGTAAAAATAAAAAAGAAGATTAATTGTCATACTAATTTTTGTAAATTATTCTTCTAATAAAAACTGAATGTTAGAAAATCAATAGAAATAATTTATTTATATTAGTATAAAATTCTAGTTTTAAAAAAAATTAATTAAGTGTAAGGTTATACGTAGTTCTATCAATAGTAGTAAAGAATATATATATATACTTATTTTATAAAAAAAAGTTGCATAAAATTTTTAATTTTATTTTTGGAATCAAATTTATAAGTTATTGCAAAGATAATATATTAAAATTTATATCTAACATTCTGTATAATGCGTGAATACAAATGAATTATAAAAATAGAATATTAATTAAAATCTAAAATACATATACTATATTTTTAAAACATATCCAACTCCAATCATAAAAGCGTATAAAGGAAAAGTATTAAAAGACGGTGATTTTTGCAATATATAATTGATAACAGGGATAGATTTAAACCAATTTCAATAAAATTAACTAATGGACAAATATTTGATTTTTTTAAAAATATTTAGACAGGAAAAATTAATAATTAAATATATATTTTTTTAAATCTAATATTTCGGGCAAATTTTCGTGAATATTGCGTTCATTTAGCTTCTGTCAAATAGGCGACGCCAGGTAAAGTCTTGCCTAAAAATAAATTATTTTTATAAATCTTTAAAAATAACAAATAACGATTAAATTAAATCTTAAAATCAGTTTTTCCAGTGGAAATTGCGAAATAACTATAGGTAAAGAAATATCGAATTGACTTTAAAAGTATTTTTATCAAATATTATCTTTTATAATCAATGTTTAATAACATATGCATATTTATAATAATTTACTTAATACAATCTGAATATATACTTTAAATACAATTGAATTAATGTCAATATCGACAGTATTTTATTCAACAGGGCAGAAGTAATTATAGATTCATTTTTTTTAAATTATTTTCTTAAATTTAAATTAGCGATTTAATTAAAGCTTATTGTAATAAAACAGTGTAAAAATAAGGTATAAATAAATTGCTTTTATTAGAAAGAAAGAAAATCCAAAATTATATTTGATAAAAAATACGGATTCAAAAAAATTTTAAACGATTCATTCAAATTTAGTTCATGTAATGGCAAAGGTCCCTTACATTCCTATTTCTTTCTAAAAAAAATTTTTAAACCCCCCCCCCTATAAAGATATCTGATTTAGATTTAGGAAAAAGTGAGTATATAGTATATAATTTAAAACTAAAAGTTACCTTCAAGTAATTCTAAGCTCGCGCCACCACCAGTACTAACATGACTAACTTTATCCTCAGTGTTCCATTTTGCGCAACACGTTGCCGTATCACCACCACCTAATAAATTATGTAATTTTATAAGTAATTAAAAAGATTTCAAAATTTTGTGTATTCATTTTAAATGTCTAAATTTTGTATAAAAGAAATGAGTTTTTTTTTTTAAAAAAAGTCTTCACATATTTTTTTGGGGCAAAAATCGAGATTCGTTTTATTTAACTTTAAAAAACTCCAAAAAATATCAATTTTTTTTTTCAAACTTTGATATAAATACTTATGGGTTCAGTATTAACTCGATTTTAGATTGGCTAAATTTCAATTTTTTTTATATTTCAAATAATAAATTTTGGTCTGATGTAATTCAGCTTTAATTATAAATATTCAAAATCACAAAAATCTAAAAGACTGCGCCATAAAGAGAACTCTAATAAGAGTGGGATATCCGGTAAAGGGGCTATAGATATCTAAGTTCAAAGGGGATAATACATTGAGTAGATTTTATAATTTTGATCTGACGATTATAGCAGGATTTTGAATTATACTAATCAGGTGATGAATTCAATATAATAAAATAAACCTATAATGGTTGTGGCCCCTTTTTTAGTGGCTTCCACAACTGCGTCCATGAGGTCTTTAGTCCCTTGAGAAAATTTATCCATCTCAAAAACACCCATCGGCCTAAAAAAAATAATAAGGTGTTATTTGCCAAAAAATGTATGTTCGTCAAGTAAAATATTGAATATTCTCCTAGAAAACAAATGGCAACAAAAACTATATATTCAACATTTGTATAAATAATCATTTATAATACACTCACCCGTTCCACACAATGGTTTTGGAGTTCAATACAACGTTTTTAAAGTTCTTTCTGGTTTCAGGACCTATGTCCAAACCCTAATTATTTTTTATATAAAAACGGATTTTAAAAAAAGCCATGTCTATCAATATCTCCCATTAATTAATAAGTCCAAATATGATTGGCGTAATAAATTTATTTTAATCCATCTTTTTTCTATCCCAATATTAAATTAATTAATCTCTAACTAACCATTCAATTACTCTTTACTCACCATCCAATTATTGGGTATGCCACTTTTGACGTCGACCGTTTTGGTCTGGGCATCGGCCGCGAATTTATCCGCTATGATAAAGTCCGTAGGCAAATGTAATTTAACGTTATTTTTAGCGGCTTTGGCCTTGATATCCGTAACTATCTTTGAACCTTCTTCGTCAAAAAGTGATGATCCAATCTTGCAATAAATCATATGAATATATTTGTTTAAATAATAAATGGGAATCTAACTTGAAGGTTGTTTAAGATAAACATAGTAGGGATTTTAAAAAAAATCATAAGGATATTATTAGTTGCCAGGGTAAAGTGGTTAAAATTATCGAGGTACCCAATACATGGACTTTGGGAATTAACTAAAAGGTATCATTTTGCTAAAGCTACCGCAGATAAAGGACTCAATTTTTAAAAAGGCTCCCAATATTTAGGCCAAAAAAGTATTATGCAAGATTGGAGATTTTTCTCATTGATGGCAAAAAAAGGTTTGGATCTATTAACGAAATCTATAGGCGTTTGTAATATTATTTTGGCCATATAAAGCCGGTTAACAACATCAAGCACAAGTATTTTGAAATACTAGCAAATTGTAACGAGATTCATTTATTTGTTCAAATTTCATACTTATTTTATTTTACATTTTAATTGATAATGATAAGAAAATATAGTTGTCAAAAGAATGAAAACAAAAATTATCTATTTATTATTTTTATTGGATGCAATTTCAAAGATTTAACTAAAAATTTTTTATAGATTTTATAAATAATTTATGATATCTATCAAACGCTAACGCACTCTACCGCTAAAGCTACTTGGCTAAAAATTGAGCTCGCTATTTGCTACCTTTTATGCTAATTTATAAAAGAAAATTTTAATTTAATTTTTTATATTGTATATCAAAATCTCTCTCTATCACAAATTAACATTTCAAATTCACACATGTAAAAAAAAAAAATTTACAAATCAATGTAATAAATTATAATTAAAAAAAAACAATTAGTTTTAAAAAATAATAGTATTTTAATTATTAATAATTAATAGCTATAGCATCGATGGTAAACGACCAATGCTAAGGATTTCAAAAAAAAAATAATAGTAACGGCAAGGCAGTGTTCCTCCTTGTAATTATGCGAATGTGCAGCAGAATAATAAAAATAATTCATGGCACTATCGGCTCAAATCGACCCGTTTAACAACACTAGGCGACTTGTATATTTATTCAACTTATTCCAGGATAAATTGTTGTAACTTCTTTTATTCAAATTATTTCACAAAAAAAAATATATATTATGATAAAATAACAAAAAATGAAAAACTTTTTTTTTATAAATTAAAAACAAAAATATTGTTGTATATATTATTTTTTAAAACATTATATAATAATTAATATTTTCGACAACATTATACAAAAAAAAAATCAAAAATTCCCTAAAAAAATATATAATGTTACAACACGCCCCTTTAAGGAACAAAAACCTAGGGCAAAAATGATACAATTTTCGAGTCATTATTAAAAAAATATATAATTACCAAATAATACAATATAATCTCTTACAATGTTTCGTCATTAATCGCTAATTCTTCCATTTCATTCTGCATAATTTCCTCAGGTGACGCCACATTACCCGTTGGAATAACCCTCTTGTCCCTCATTACCATTTTGAATATTATTCCTTCCCAACCTCACCACTTCAGGTCTCCTTGGGATCAGTCTATTGATACAAGTAAATGTATTGAATAAGAACCATCGCCTGGCCAAACAATGGCATGATCAATGGGTACGTCAGCAGACTGAGGATTGTATACCGAAGACGTCAATTAGACCTCAAACGTTGAGTGAAGTATTAGTGAGACAAATGAATTAGCGACATCAATGAGAAGACCCAGTTCTAATGTCAAATGTTTTAATTGCGGTGGGATAGGACACAAATCCATTGATTGTCCTAGCGCCCGAATTCAATCAACCCAATGGAGGCTCAATGAAATCAATGAGAATAGGTGGCAATTAAATGGACCACCGTGGAGGGTCATACGTATACTACCTAGAGGGACGGTTATGATGATGTCTGGAGAAATTGGGCAGCAAATGGATTCGCTGAGGATTAATATACCAAAAAGACATGAAGTGGTGAGGTTGGGAATAAATAATATTCAAAATGGTAATGAGGGACAAGCGGGTATTCCAACGGGTAATGTGGCGTCAACTGATGAAATAATGCAGAATGAAATGGAAGAATTAGCGATTAATGACGAAAAATTGTAAGATATTTTGTAGGGCTGTACCGATTCACATATTTTTCACCGATCCGATCCGATCCGTTATTTTCCGACATTGCTTCAAACCCGATCCGATATTTATATTGATTTTTAATCACCCCCGTTTGAACCAAATGTAATTAAGAAATAAATATTTTTTATGCAAAAAATCGAATTATGAATTTAATTTTTTTTTTCTACAATTAAGACTCTAATAAAAAATATATATTTAATAATATATCCATTTTATGTGTTGGTATGAATTATGAAATTGTAATATTTAATATATAAAATTATAATATATTAGATTTTTTTAATAAATATGTGAGCCTCCACATTTTCTGGAAATAAGCTTCTACGATATGGACTATCTATATCTCCTGCCGTACTTAAGGCAAGACTCAGATGATTCCGCAGATAACACATTTTGCAAAATTATCTTTGTCTTTTGTAAAATATTTCCATAATTCAGATACCATATTTTAAAAAAATCTTTTATTTAAAGTATAAATAAAAAAATTAGCGTTATTTAAAAAGATTTAAAATAAATAAAACTTTGGGTGTTCCCTTTATATTTTTATAACAAAAACTTTTAAAATACTATAAATCTATTTTAAAAATGAATTTAAAATTTAAAAAAATTATTTAGAAAATATTATAATAATGTAAAATAAATATACATAACATAAAATAACAAAAAAAAAGAAAAGTAAAAAGATCGGATCGGTTTTATGACAGGTATCGGCCCGATCCGATATTTTCGGAAAACGCTAAATATCGTTACAGATCCGATATTTAATATCGGCACAGCCCTATTATATTGTATTATTTGGTAATTATATTTTTTTTTTAATAATGAATGTAAAATTATATCGTTTTTGCCCAGGTTTTTGTTCCCTAAAAAAGGGGGCGTGTTGTAACATTATATATTTTTATATTTTTTTGGGGGGGATTATTGATTTTTTTTTGTGTAATGTTGTCGAAAATATTAATTATTATATAATGTTTCAAAAAATAATATATATATTTTTAAATATACTTATATTTTTGTTTTTAATTTATATAAAAAAAAAGTTTTTCGTTTTTTTGTAATTTTATCATAATATTATTTTTTCTTTCGTGATATAATTTGAATAAAAGAAGTTACAACAATTTATCCCGGAATAATTTGAATAAATATATAAGTCGCAACAAGTGTTGTTAAAAAGTCCGATTTGGGTTACGGCTCGATGAGATTTTAGCTAAACTAATATTAAGTAAGCATCGAAATTTGGCAAATAGAAGTTATCCAAGCATTTCTGCCAGCTATGAGTAAAATCTTTAGGCTTACACAATGTCATTTCGGTTATAATCTTAATCGCTAATTAAATATATAAGGTTATATTTCACTTGCATATTATCCAGAACTCTCAAGAATGTGTATGCCATACCTCCACCTATAATCATTTCGGTAACCTTGTCCAACAAGTTTTCGATCAATTGAATTTTGTCTTTAACTTTGGCTCTTTATATATGTATAAAAAAAATATATATATTTCAAATATTTCAAAAATTTCTTCTTTCAAAAAATAAAATATATTTATAATCGCACAAATATTCCCGATGCATTATTCCTTGGAATATTCCCATTATTCAAAGATCTTATCTTAACCAAGCTATGGAATAAGGGGAATAATTTATAGGATAAAATCGGGAGAAATGAGCGAGTCTCAATGTTATCGGACAAATACCGTGTTGGTATCAAGTGTGCCGATGATCGGGCAATCCTTATCGAGGGTATCAACAAGTTGGATCGAGTATTGGTGGTATTAGTGTGGTTAAACGGCTCAATTAGAGCCGATTTTTATAACCGGTTACCTCGATATGTTACCCAGAAAGATTTTACGCCAGCATGTAGATTCTGCTCATAGATTAGCAACGGCTTCGTTTTGAGCAGACTTTTTAAGAACGGCTAACTCAATATTTCATCAAAAAATATAAAGCAAGCCTGAAGATTTTGCTCATAGAAGGAACAAAGGTCTAGACATATATTATCCAAATCTCGAGGTTTAGGCAATATTTTTCTGGCTAAAATATTGAGTCTAGCCGTTTTAAAAAATAGGCTCAAAACGAGCCGTTTAACAACAAATACGTTGTATTGGCCGTGACCCCCCGAGAAAAATTATAAATTAGAAGTATGGATGATAACCATTTGTTTCGGCGAAATGGTGATTGGAATCGCGTGTTATTTTTAATCACACGTGCCATTTATTAATTTTATTAATTTCCGTTTCCCAAAATTAATAATAGCTGGGTGACAATATGTAACTAGAATACACATAATTTTTAATTTTTTTTCTTCTTAGATATTATAATATTTTATAAAATCATATTTCCAAAATAATTTTAATCGAGTCAGACTGGAACAAAAAATTTGTGTTCGGGCTCAGAGGTCTAGTAAAAAAAAAAAAATTTTAAGTCGGGTTTTGGTTGGGTTACAAGAAAAAGTTCTCATCATTTATAACAAGGGATATAAAAAACCCTATAAAACATTTAAAAAATCTAATTTTTTTCACATGTAAAAAACGAGAAAAAAACAGAACAAATTATTATATTTTATATGATTGTCACATTGAAAAATTTGCAATTAAAATAGACAGATAATATTTTCAATATGGATTGTAAGTTTAAAACAATTTCCAAAAACAGAAGAACCCTCCCCTCATCCTCTCCTCTCTACAGGTTAAAATCCCTAGAATTAATTTTAAGGTAAAGAACTATGAATAATTAATAAGTCCTAGTGGAATATTTTGAAAAAATTAAATTACTTAGGACCTTTTTGTAGTGCTGTTAAATGGCTCCAGTAAATGATTGCCTAAACCTAGAAATTTCGGTTATAGATGCTCAATTGTGACATCTATGACCAAAATCTTCGAGCTTGTGTAAGATTAATTAAAATAATCCATATTGACAAATTTAATTAGATTAGGATAAAACCAGATGACAAAAAAATCTTCTTGAAGAATCTGAAAATTTTTTTCCCATAATTTGAAGACCAAAAAAATGCTCAAATCTTTTTTTTTGTAAATCTTTTCGTAATTTTTCTATTTAAATAATTATTATCATAAAGAGAAAAAAATTTAAATCTTAATTTTTTTTGGATCTTAAAAACAAGCATTTACCTATTCTATTTATCATATATGGGAAAGGTTTTTTTATATAAGTCATTGGAAAGATGAATTTATTTATAATTAGACTTTATCTTTTTTTTTATCATCATAGAATAAAAACATTATTTACCCTCCTAAAATGGCTAAAAATGGTTTTTCTGGAGTTTCTAAGGCTTTCGAGAAATACTGAAGCTCCTTTTTCATCAAAAATCCTGCAGCTCTGACAGGCAGCTTGATACCCACCATGGAACTATAAGATAAAATATAATAATATTAATTATATATTACAGTGTATGCCAAATTTTTGGTTCCCACAATAAATCGCTAAGTTCAAAATAGCCAAATATTTTAGTACGTAATTTAAAACACCACAAGTAATATAATATTTTATATATAATAATAAAATATATAATAATAATATAATGTAATATAAGATAATATAAATTATATATAATAAGATAATATAAAATATATAATAATAATAATATAATATAAAATATATAAAATAAGAAAATATATAATAATAATATAATGTAATATAATGTAATATAATATAAATTATATATAATGATAATATAAGATATATAATAATAATAATATAATGTAATATAAAATATATAATAATAATATAATGTAATATAATATAAAATATATATAATATAAAATAAAATATATATAATAAGATAATATAAAATATATATAATAAGATAATATAAAATATATACATAATAAGATAATATAAAATATATATAATCTTGTCTTACTATAAATTTCCTGAATAAATTTTTTATCGTAATTAATTTAACTCTTACTCCTTCCTATAAATATCTGATATCGTAATATTTTATTTTTTTTAAAGGTATATATATATTCTTAAGTATATGTTACTCAGTTTTCTTACTAGAAATTTCCTGAATAATTTTTTTAATCGTAATTAATTTAACTCCTACTCCTTTAAAATATCCTAATATTTTATTTTTTTTAAGGTATATATTGATTTATAGGAATATATAATTAAAAAAAAATTTATATTGTACAATTTAATTAGAATAATTTGAATATATATTAACTGATTGAAAATTTACTAAAAATGAGATTTTGTCTAAAAAAGAAAATAAATTTAATATTTCTCTATCATACATAAACGTTAAATTGTCTATCTTATGATTTATTCTTTCATACGTCCGATTTGCTCGTCAAACAATTGATCCATTATGATATTTGTATTAGCTTTGTATCGTTCTAATTTTGATTTTCGATTAATATTTTTATTAGGACGTACACATTCGGATGTGCACTGCTTGTTTTTCTTTTTAGGGCATGATGGAACCCCTCGAGATGGTTATTTGTGCGGGGCCCATCTACATGATACCTAAAATAAATATTTAAAAATATTAGAATGATTGATTACAATTATTTTAAGTTTTTACACCTTGTCCATATAGTATGAGGGAATAAGGCAGTTTCACCAAGCCATGTATGGTCCATATACTCCATAAAACGAAGTAGGGATGGATTATTAGTTGCTATTGAGTAGCAAGAAACGAACCTCGGCCATATGCTCCTCCTTGCAAAATGGTAAAGTTGTCATCCGCCTAAAAACTAAATGGACATAAGAATCGTTTAGATAATCTCTAACTAAACCCAAAGCTTGACATTTCCGCCATAAAGCTTGAGAATAATGAAAGAAACATCCTAAATATTTTAAATTAAAATTTAGTATTTCATAAATTAACCTTTGATCACTATATTTGGGAATACAAATCGAAGAGCAGATATAGCTGCCGCCTCAAAATATGTTTGGCCAATTGAAGGATTGAAATAAATACCTTCACGGGTACAAAAATTTTTGACTATATGAAATAGTTGAATATATGTCTATCTTGATTTATCTGGAAGGAGAGCATATATAACTGGGATCATAACATTTTCATATATAACGTGTATGCTATAAAGCTGACAATATAATCTAGGAACTATGTAGAAAGTTCCGTCCATATAAATTGTCGTAGCAGATCCCAACAACTTTAACATATCACCAGTCCCTAAGACCAATATCCTATTATCATCGGTAGGAATATGGAATCTTTGAGATCTTGAAGATGTAGCATATGCTGGCGTTAAAACAACATCTTGAATGGAATGAGGCATGGAAGGCCTATATTTCTTAAGAATTCGTCGATAAGGCTTCTAATTGATATGAAAGGGGGGATTGCCTCAGAATAATTTTCGATATAATTTGTCTAATCATCTTATATCAATAGTTTTTTGATATATGTTCATCCTCGTTTCGGTAGGATTTTGGACAGTAGTTCTTTCAAGAACTTCTCTTGTTTTGAGGAGCTCAAAATACCCGACATAAGGTTGGTGTTCATGTACACCTGATGAAATGTAAATATGATCATATTTACATTTAGCAGAAAAGCCTGGTTTCCTGCAACGGTAATGCACAACATCCCTTCCATTCTATTCAAGATATTGTTTTAACGTCAGCATATGCTACATCTTCAAGATCTCAAAGATTCCATATTCCTACCGATGATAAAAGGATATTGGTCTTTGGGACTAGGGATATATGTTAAAGTTGTTGGGATCTGCTACGACAATTTATATGGACGGAACTTTCTACATAGTTCCTAGATTATATTGTCAGCTTTATAGCATACACGTTATGTATGAAAACGTTATGCTCCCAGTTAAATATGCTCTCCTTCCAGATAAATCAAGATAGACATATATTTAACTATTTCATATAGTCAAAAATTTATACCCTTGAAGGTATTTATTTCAATCCTCCAATTGGCCAAACAGATTTTGAGGCGGCAGCTATATCTGCTCTTCGATTTGTATTCCCAAATATAGTGATCAAAGGTTAATTTATGATATACTAAATTTTAATTTAAAATATTTAGGATGTTTCTTTCATTATTCTCAAGCTTTATGGTGGAAATGTCAAGCTTTGGGTTTAGTTAGAGATTATCTAAACGATTCTTATATCCATTTAGTTTTTAGGCGGATGATAACTTTATCATTTGACAAGGAGGAGCATATGGCCGAGGTTCGTTTATCTTGCTACTCAATAGCAACTAATAATCCATCCCTACTTCGTTTTATGGAGTATATGGACCATACTTGGCTTGGTGAAACTGCCTTATTCCCTCATACTATATGGACAAGGTATAAAAACTTAAAATAATTGTAATCAATCATTCTAATATTTTTAAATATTTATTTTAGGTATCATGTAGATGGGCCCCGCACAAATAACCATCTCGAGGGGTTCCATCATGCCCTAAAAAGAAAAACAAGCAGTGCACATCCAAATGTGTACGTCCTAATAAAAATATTAAGAAAATCAATTTGAACGATACAAAGCTAATACAAATACATAATGGATCAATTGTTTGACTTGCAAATCAGACGTATGAAAGAATAAATCATAAAATAGACAATTTAACGTCTATGTATGATAAAAAATTATAAATTTATTTTCTTTTTTAGACAAAATCTCATTTTTAGTAAATTTTCAATCAGTTAATATATATTCAAATTATTCTAATTAAATTGTACAATATAAATTTTGTTTTTTTTATTATATATTCCTATGAATCAATATATACCTTAAAAAAAATAAAATATTAAGATATTATATAGGAGTAGGAGTTAAATTAATTACGATAAAAAAATTTATTCAGGAAATTTCTAGTAAGATAACTGAGTAACATATACTTAAGAATAAATATATACCTTAAAAAAAAATATTACAATATCAGATATTTATATGAGTAAGAGTTAAATTAATTACGATAAAAAAATTTATTCAGGAAATTTCTAGTAAGATAACTGAGTAACATATACTTAAGAATATATATATATACCTTAAAAAATATATTATATTACGATATCAGATATTTATAGGAGTAAGAGTTAAATTAATTACGATAAAAAAATTTATTCAGGAAATTTCTAGTAAGACAACTGAGTAACATATACTTAAGAATATATATATACCTTAAAAAAAATATTATATTACGATATCAGATATTTATAGGAGTAAGAGTTAAATTAATTATGATAAAAAAATTTATTCAGGAAATTTATAGTAAGACAAGATTTTATATATTTTATATTATATTACATTATATATTATTACATATTTTCTTATTATATATATTTTATATTATTTTATCTTATTATATATATATTATATTATATTTTATATTATATTATATTATATTATTGTATATATATTTTATATTATCTTATTATATTACTAATTATATATTTTATTTTATATTATCTTATTATATATATTTTATATTATCTTATTATATATATTTTATATTATATTACACTTATAATAAGATTTTTATTTATTAGAATATAAAGTTATATTAATATTATAGTGTATTACATTATTAGTATTATATTATATTAGTGTTATGTTATTTTTATATATTTTATATTACATTATATTAATATTATATATTTTATATTATCATTATATATTATATTATCATTATTTATTTTATATTTTCTTATTATATATATTTTATATTACATTATATTACATTATTATTATATATTTTATATTATCTTATTAGATACATTTTATATTCTATATATTTTATTTTAAATTATTATATATATTTTATATTATATTACATTATATTATTATTATATTTATATATTTTATATTACATTATATAATAATTATATATTTTCTTATTTTATATATTTTATATTATATTATTATTATATATTTTATATTATCTACTTTATCAGCTTTAAAAAAAATTAAAATAAAAACGATCATTAAATAATGTGGTAAAAAGCAAACTAACCTATGAGCTCTGTGGGCAGTTCCAAAGGCATCATTAATAAAAACGTCACCTAACTTAGATAAAGAAGCACTGAATTTTTCTGTGGCTTCTTTGCTTGCTTTGACCTTAGTTATTTTTATTGTAAATGTAAATCAGATTATGTAAAATTAATTTTTGCTATTTCTGTTAATTTTTATGTATTGGTCTGCAGAATTATCAGGCAATTGTCAATATAGAAAATAGTTTCTGTATTTTGTTTTTTAAAGGAAATAAGAAAAACTAATAAATGTAGAAATTAAAACACCTCATAATTATATAAGTTATGAGTAATTAAATTTCAAAAAATTTGGCCTGGCCCTGATTTTTTTTTATTAAAATTTTTAGGAGACACTTTTTAATTTCAACTAAAAGGTCTCTGATATATATTTGGTTAATTCAAAAAAATTACATTTATCATGTTGTTTTCATCAATAAATTATTCTAAATATGTATTTGATTTGAACAATTTTAAATATAATACCTATTAGTTGTAAAAAAATCCAATACTTTATTTCCATTGACATCTAATCCCTTGCCCTCTTCTTCAACATGAAACCTTAAATTTTCTAATAGGATAACAGAACCAGGTTTAGGATCAGCACAAGCTTTTTCAACTTCTGGCCCAACACATTCATGCAAAAATGTTACTTTCCTTAATTTATATAATAAAAAATAGGATTGTTATTTCATATTAATTTTATATATAATTAAAGGATTAACTATTTTGAGTTATTATAAAATTTTATAATTAACTTACACTCCTAAAAGCGTCTCTAATTGTTTAGCAATTGGTTCTAATGAAAACTTTGGATTTGGGACACCATCAGGTCTACCCAAATGACTCATTAATACTATTGACTTTGCCCCTTTATCAATGGCATATTTTATAGAGGGTATGGCAGCAACAATTCTTAAAAATTAATTCTTAAAATTTTAGAATATACTAATAGAAATACCTTTGATCATTCGTAATTTTTCCACTATCGTCTTGGGGAACATTGAAATCCACTCTGTATATTAAAATTAAAATATAAAAATTTTAAATTATTATTTTAAATAACAAGGGAATTAATTTTTCATACCTCATCAAAACTCTTTTTCCTTTTAAATCTACATGATCTATACATGATTTGTTTTTTAAAGACATTCTGCAAAGGGCAAATAAAAGAAATATTTAAATTTAAGCGTATGAGTGCGATAAAATCTTGATATCAAATGGTAGAAAATCACGTGATGCTTTATTTTTGAATGATTTTTGAATTTTTTTTACATATTTGAAAATAATAGAACATGGTATTTCTGTTATATCATCCAATATGTTTTTATTTATTTATACTTTTCACACTAGACAGATAAAGGCCATGTGCAAATGCCCATGAGAAATATACACCAGAGTTACCCTATTTTTGGTATTTATATACATTCTGTAATTTCTGTATCTCGAGACTTAGGCAATATTTTTCTGGCTGAAATATTGTTAGCCGTTTTTAAAAATAGGCTCAAAACGAGCCGTTTATAAACACAAGATGTAGAGTGGTGCAGGGGGGGAGGGTATAAATTTCTTTATTGAGAACTTGGGTGGTGGGGGATAGTATATGAGAATCTTTGATGCTATAGCTTTAAAAGCAAACTATAAAATCATTTTTTTCATGAAATTCTTTTTAAGATTATATCTTTCTGAAAACTATAAATAACATTTATATACACATGTTCACCCCCCCCCTCCTCACCACTCCCTTCTATTTATCCAGAATAATTTATATAAATATGGGCAAGAATAATAATGCCACAACGCAAAGGAAGTATTCCTTCCTATATTGGTAGGGTTTATATCCAAGAATCAAATTATTCAAATCTATATAATGTTGTTATTAAAAATTTATGAAATCGAAAGCAAATTATTATCAAACTATTACATGCTTTCCTTTCTATTTTATCAATGAGAGAAAATTTATTGGAGACAAATCCTCCTCGCCATTCTCCTCCTCCCCTTGTTGGCAGGGAGTAAAGCAAGATATCAAAAAGATTTAAAACTTTTATTAAATAAATATATTTTTATAATATTTGACTATATTAAACTGAAAAACTATAATAAATTTATCCTTTATATATAGAAAAAACTATTAAATAGAAACTATTAAGTAAAGTTTATATAAATTGTGTAAATTAAATGAATGCGACATTCAAAAATTTGCGCTATATAATAACCAGTATAATAAAATAATAATCCATGTTTAACATTCCACTCTCTAAAGGAACCCCGCCTAGGTTCTCTTTAGACGTAAATCTTTTGTTTTCATGGAGTTTCCCATCTATTTTGATCATAAAATCTGTCATAGTTTCGTCTTGAAAAATGATAGTTATATTGGTTGTTATATCTTTGGTTGCTATAATATGGTCGAGTCTGCCATGGTTGTCTAAACTGATGTTTGTAATTATTATCATAAAATCTGTTGTTCTCAACATATGGCATCATCTGGGTATTGTCATATCTAGTATTAGTTGATTTTTGTTCGCAAACTTTCTTATCTTGTCTTACTTCCTCCAAATCTTTGAAAAACGGTTTAGTTGTTCATACGATTAGACTTTGTCATCCTTCTGTTAATTATTATCATTGTTTGTTATTAAATATATATGCGAAGATTTAGAATAATTTTAGAATATAGGTTTTATTGAATAACGTCGTAATAAAATAAGAATCGTCGAATAATCGAAATAGAATTAATTTAATGAATATCGAATTTGATTAAGAATAATTGAAGTAGAATGAATTAATCAAATATTGAGTAATCGAAATAAGATGAATGATTGGTCGCGTTATATTTTATTTTTATTTTATATTATATACATTGCGTTTTAAATAATAGCGTTTTTCGTTTCTCAATTTCGCGTTTTAAATAATAGCGTTTTTCGTTTCTCAATTTCGCGTTTTATATAATAGATTTCGTAATATAGCATTTATTTTTAATTTCGCGTTTTTTATAATATATCATTTTATATTTATTTTTAATTACGCGTTTTATATAATAAATTTTAACAATATTAAATTTCAATTTAATCATCAATTTTTTTTAAATATCTTTAATTGTAGCGTTTTATATAATAATTTTTTTTTATTAATATTAAATTTCAGTTATTTTTATTTTTTAAATTTTAAATTTTCCTTTGTGTTTCAATATAAACAACTTTTTCATATCATAAATTATCTTTAAGTTGTTCTTTCTAAAAAGAATATATGATTTCCATATCATATTCTTAAAAACCTTTTTATCATCAAGATGTTTAACTTTCACCTTGCCTCTCTTAGTATTAATTGTTTTACATTTCTTTATTTCAACAGTTTTTTTAAATTTTTTATCAATTTTTAAAAGTTTTTATTTCATTATTTTTTTAATATTTATATCCTTATTTTCGTTAAATTTTATTTCCTTATTTTCTATAATCACAAATGTTTCAAATTTTATTATATAATTTATCTCTTTTATTTTATAATAATCTCTTTCATTTTGAATATATGGTTCTAATTCAATATTTTTCAATTTTTTGTTACTAAGAGATTTAAAATTACAATAATAATTTCTTTTATTACAATGTGTTTCTTTATCATATTTATTGTTATGACTTCTAAAGTTGTTAGTTTTATAATTTTTGTAGTTTCTATAATTACAATTTACATAATATCTAAAATTGCAATTTTTATTATAATTAATATCATATCTTTTAACAAAGTTTTGTCCAAAGTTGTTTTTAAAATGCTCATAATCATTATATTTTTTTGTTATAATTATATTTCTATTATTATTATAATAACCTATCACTAGTATCATAATTTTTTTTAGACTGAATTTTGTCAATATGAAATCTATAATGATCTGGGAATTGAATTAAATACGACCTATTTACGTAATATTTTTTAATTGTAGCTAAGAATTTATCTTTAGGCAATTTAGTTAATTCCCACATTTGGTCATTATCCCAGAAATCAAAAATACGAAAAATATCAATGGGTAGGTCATCAAGAAATTTAACTGTTAATTCATTATTAAGTAAATATTTTTCAAGGTTATGTAAGTATTCATATATGTTCATTATGACTGATTTATATTTAATTTATTAAGTTATATTGAAATTTTATAATAACTTTTCTTTTTTTAATTGGATTAAATCATCATTGGTTGTACTACATAGAATTCATAACCTATTGTCTAACTATCATATTGGTTCATGTAAGTTCATATACCCAATTTTAATAATCTCCATTTATAACAACTCCATTATCCATGATAGCTTCGTCTAGTTTGATATCTAGTTTAACAATTTTCCTCAATGTTGATTTATCCATTTGATCTAAATTATATTTTGTGGAAAAAAATAAATTTAAAAGATTTTAAAATTGTAAATTCCGCTGCCACCATGATAAGGTTAGCAGGGAGTGAAGCAAGATAAAACAAAAAGATTTAAAACTTTTATTAAATAAATGTATTTTTAAAATATTTGACTATATTAAACTGAAAAACTATAATAAATTTATCCTTTATATATATATAAAAAAACTATTAAATAATTAAATGAAACTATTAAGTATAATAAAAATTGTGTAAATTAAATGAATGCGACATACACTAATTTGCGCTATATAATAACCAGTAAATAATAATCAAAAATGATTTTGAGATCTTCTGGTAGATATTCTTTAAGCCATTACACTATAGCAAATCTAAAAATATAAAATATTATTTAAATTATATGAGACTATATCAAATCTCTATAATATTATAAAATCAAAATTATTTTAACAGAATAACTTTGGATAGGAACATCAAATAAACATTCTTTGGTTTTAATCTTTTTTGGTAATCAATTAGTTTTTATAATAGTTATCTCAAAATTAGACCTGACTCCTGAGCCTGTGGTATTTTTACTTTTTATTCGTATGCTTTTTATTGAAAATTTGAATTTAATTTCTTTATTAAATATTTTTTTCTATATTTTCTACAAATTACATTTTTAATAAATATTACATTTGATATAATCGACTGTGCTTTTATAATTTATGAAATTTAACCATTTTGATAAGGCTATCTAATTAAGATTTTATAGAAAAAAAAATTATATAGATTGGGTAATTTTAAAATTCATTAATTCTCAGTTGAGGATACTCTCTTGGTGGGTTTCTGCAACACTAGCTCAGAGGAATTTAGGCCCTGCTAATGAGTTCCCTACTATATTCATGCACCATAATATATTAGTAAAAAAAACAATTAATTGCAAAGATATTGGGTTTATGACTAATTATTATTATGTAATCAAATAAATCCAAAATTAATAATGTCAATAAATAGTGCATTCCTATATCCATTTGTTATTTCAACTATAAGATCAAATGTCTCCTTAAAATAGTGTAGAAAATTTGTTAACTACTTTCAATTACCATTTATAGGTATAAACTTCACAAAGAATTATTTAGCAAAATGTTATTAACCCCCTTAAAAGCATAAGAATCCATAATAAAAAACATCATGGAAAAATAACTAATCTCAAATTTAACTCCAATTCTTAGCATCAAGTCACTCTTCCCTGCAATAAAGGTGACATAGGGTTACGATAACCCATAGCCTTATCAATTAGTGGTTTCATCTCGTCCAGATTGGGAAGCTTAAAAATAATAACTGATCACCTGTCCTTGACAGATGCACTGCTTGACGTAGCCTATATTATATGCTAAGCCTCAGTCGGAGATTAATGTCAACCACCAGCCTCCCATAAACAAAAGGATTGCAAGGTGGTCCGTTGATAATCTCTTTTAAACCCTGTTATCTAAAGATCTTACCCTATTAGCATCCCACAACGAAGGTTCAGGACATGAATACTTGGACGCCATCTCTTCTAAAAATCTTGAACTCGAATTTTCAAATCAAGAATTCAGTTTTGCTGTAGTCATTTGTTTAAATGTGACAGCCTCAGTTTCATATAAGTGCACCAAGTGCAATAAGCCAGTAAGTCAAACTGGTTATCATTGCCTCCAATGCATCTTTAGCAGTGGACGCTCAATCCAGCTTAACAGATGCAATGCTCTCATAAAACGAGCTTTACAGTCCGCAAACTTTCCTGCCACTTTAATACCCCCAGGTAACTTTATGAATGGAAGACGACCATATGGAATTACACAAATTCCTTGGGAGAATGGCCTATTTCTAGCGTGGGATAAGT